TGGTTCAGGTGTGATGTTAATTGAAGTGTGGTTCAGGTGTGATGTTAATTGAAGTGATGTTCAGTTGTGATGTTAATTGAAGTGATGTTCAGTTGTGATGTTAATTGAAGCTTGGTTCAGGTGTGATGTTAATTGAAGCGTTGTTCAGGTGTGATGTTACCTCCGAATGTTTTGGCCATGTTGACATCATTCTCAGACACATCTCCAATACCGAAGTGGACCACCTCCAGCTGGCACTCCTGCTGCGCATCGTAGGTGTCCAGGATGTTCAGGAGCGTTTCCACCGAGCCGTTCACATCACCTGTGTGTTAGAATGCGTTCAGTGGTGATGTCATACTGGGCGGGGTCTAATGGAGGCAAGTGGCAGATACCTTTGATGATGACTGGCAGGCTGAGCTCCTTGCTCTGCGTCTTCTCACTCACTCTCACAATGGACTTAGTCCGGGACCGAAATATTTTCCGCCTTTCTCTCCAGTTCAGGTGAGTTAGCCCCTCCCTAGACTGCTGGTACTCCTCCTGGTGCAGCTTCTGTTTCAGCTCGATGGCGCTCTGCTCCTCCACAAGCTTCTGCTGCTCCTCCTGGTAACTCCTCCACTCCACCACCTCCCTCGCTCGCTGCTGCAGGAGCACATACAGCACAGGCTTTTATTGTGATGGAGCATAGACCGCACAGGCTTTTATTGTGGCAGAGCACAGACAGCACAGGCTTTTATTGTGGCAGAGCACAGACAGCACAGGCTTTTATTGTGGCAGAGCACAGACAGCACAGGCTTTTATTGTGGCAGAGCCCAGACAGGAAACAGTTTAGCCTCAATAGGAAAACACAAAAATAAAAGCTACGATAAAAACAAGACGCTGCAGTAAAACTTGGGTCTTGTCTGGTCTGGGTTTGGCCTCGGATTTGGACCTCACCTCGGACTCGACCTCCAGGATAGTCTTTCCAACAGATGGCGTGTCCTTCCAGCCGACCACCTGAATGGGAGTGCTTGGCTCCGCCTCCTTCACCACCTGCCCATTCTCATCGTACAGGAAGCGGACTTTAGCCCAGGACTTCCCTGCAACCAGAACACAGCCTCGCTTCAGAACCCCCCGCTGGATGATGGCTGTCGTTACGGGTCTGAGGAGACACCACAACTGGTTTACAGAAACCTTCTACAGAACCAGTCCAGGTACATGATGCCATTAAAACTATCAGAACCGGTATGGATGGTTCTTCTGGACCCAGTGAGGACTCACCCTTTGCCTTTATCAGTTCTGCTCTCAATGATCAGCCCCTCCACAGGACCAGTGGGGTCCGCTTTTAGCTCCATAAGCTCAGCCAGCGCCACCGTKGCCTCAGCCAGACCCAGCAGGTTGTCACCCTGGCAACAATGACATCATCGATTACATCATCACGACCTGTAGGGTTCATCTTTTTCAACAGCTTGGTGATTCTTTTGATGTTCATCATGAAGAGTTATTTATGAGACGAGCTGTCGATGCTTTTGTGTCGTCTCCTCCTAGAACTGGATCACATCAGTTCAGTTCTGTACACAATCATAATACTGGATTATATACTCAGAGTACTGCTGGATTTTACTGGATTATATACCCAGAGTACTGCTGGATTTTAATGGATTATATACCCAGAGTACTGCTGGATTTTACTGGATTATATACCCACAGTACTGCTGGATTTTACTGGATTATATACCCACAGTACTGCTAGATTTTAC